GAAGCTAACACATTTCATTTTGTTTAATTGCAAATGTTTTCCTGCTGGTCTCTGGCTGCCAGGCTTTACCACTGAGAACCTTCCCATGTTCAAGTGTCCCCTGACAGTCTTCTAGAGTTCCAGTTCCTGAATTCAGCAGTAATATACTCCTACTAAGTTTACTGTTGCATCTGACTATAACTGAATGTTATCTAAATCAGTGGTTGTTACTTGAACTCTGAGTTTTAAAAATAAACACAAAGTCTCTCAAGAGAATAGAAAACTTTATTTATCCCCAAATTTGATTATGTATTAGAAATTCTGATCAAAATTATCGTAAAAGTATGGGCAGTAGTACTGTAAACCATCTGTACATGAAGATAAAAATCAAATAATAAACAGGTCAGCACACACTAAAATGTACGCATGTCGAAAATGTGGTTCTCCTTAGAAAACGCAGACACATGTTTTTAAACTATGAAGTCAAAGGAACAAACAGCTAGATATCATTTCTATCAACAACACATGCTTCATCAGAGGGCCATAACATCTTTTAAAACACTGTATATTTTATACAAGATACAGTACTTCTTATATTCTCTTCTACTCTTCTGTGAGAGGTATTCTAAGTTTACAGCATGTTGGTTGGCTAAAGGGTCCCTACAGAATCTGTTTTAGGCTTGGTTAGGTGGGACAAGGGGTGGACATCCAAGGTTAGCCATTTTGATAAGGCAGAAAAGGAGGTTTCACATCAAAATTTATACTTGCCTATTTTAAGCATTAGTCTTGTACAAAAGGTATCACTATCGAATTGGGCTAAGCTACATATTATAATTTGGATATCAGTCTGATGTGGAATAAGAATACTGCGGTAGTATAACATGTTCTTGTGATTTCTAGTCTAGCCAGACAGAAACATCAATTTATGGGGTGAAAACAGAAATGAGTGAATACTCATTTATACTCTTTATAAATTACGCTCTTATTGTTATTTACTTGAAAGGTGATGAAAAAGAGAGAAAAGATCTCCCATTTCCTGCATCACTTCTGAAATGCCTGCAGCCGATCACGTAGGCAAGGCTGAACACAACCTGGGTCTCCCATGTGGGTGGCAGGGACTTACCCACTTGAGCCATCACCTGGTTTCCCCCCAGGCCACACGTTAGCAGCAAGCACATTAGCTATCAGGAGTTCAGCAGGCACTCTGATACGGATGTGGGAGTCCCACATGTCATCTGCGCTACTGTGCTAAACGCCTGCCCTAGAAATGAATAATTTTCATTTTTCCTTATTATCTCGGACATTTCATTAGCATAAACAAATGAAAATAAGTATTCCACATTATTTCCCTCTACACATCTAGGAGAACTTGACCAAGACAATGAAAATGAAAATACAAGTTCTAATGTTCCTCAACTCAAAAATCCCACGATCTTAACTTTAGTGCTTGACAAAATGCTTTCTTTTCTCTAGCAAACTCAGTCAAGAAGACTTCTGAGTAAGGCGGTTGTCCTGGTTCACAGTTTGTATAAATTTCATCGGAAGACAATTTCTAGGAAAACATGCAGGAGTTGGCAGTGCGGTGCAGTGGATTAAGCTGCTGCTTATGACGCTGACCTCCCATACTGGAGTTCTGGTTTTAATTCTAATTGTTCTGCTCTGATCCAGCTTCTTGCTGGTTTATCTAGAAGAGCAGAGGAGGACAGTGCAAGTACTAAGACTCCATCACTCACCGGGGAGACCAGAAGGCGTTCCTGGCCCCTGGCTTTGGCCTGGCTTAGTTCTAGCTGTTGGGGCTACTTGGGGAGCAAACAGTAAATGGGGAATTTACTTTTTTTCTCTTTACCTATCAATCTTTCAAATAAACAAACATATTAAAAACAGAGAGAAGAAGAAAGAAAAGAAACATGGAAGTAGGAAATGACACTTTTGAGTACATACTTAATCCCAGGTCAGAAACCACAAATTTTGCATCTCATTTAAGCCTCCCCAAATTTTTAAAAGTATGTTATCATTCCCCCAATTCATCCAACTTGAAACTGAAGCTGAGAGGCCTCTCCACTATGAACTCAATACGATGACGCTGGGATTCAAACTCCGACCCCACTCGGAAGCCTGTGTGCTTGTGCCAATATGCTGCTTTCCCTAGAGAAGAGGTCAAGGGTAGCCAAGGCAAGTGCAGAGGGTGCCAAGCAAGAAAGAAAAGCAGTTGTGGGACACTTCTTCAGAGAACTTCTTTAAGTGTGATTTTTCCATACCTGGAAGCTGTTACAGCTGATGATTACGTGTACAAATTGGGAATGTGGCACTGTCTTTGACCAGGTCTTCAGGGGATATATTTCCCAATGGGTTTATAACCCATAGGATAACAGAATTATTCATTTTCCAGAAGGCAAAACTGGAGGGGACTCAGGGAAATGTGAGTCTTAGGCTTCAGATGTTGGGTAAGATTTTTGGCTGCAGTGTGGGAGTTCATTACAAGTCTGTCTTCCAGATCTAGCTCTGGTATCCAAGCCCTTAACCCTTAGGTTGCCTAATATCCACCCATGCTTCTAGCCGTTTGAAGCACTGTAGCCAGTTAAGTGTAGAAACAATGGTTTGGGGCTACAGATTTCAAAAGGAACAAGCATAATCTATTCTTACCTGTAACTTCAAGAGTTATCAATATAAGTAAACTGAAAGCAGCTTAAATAATTCAAAGTAGATATTCCAGTTACCTTCCTAGTTAAGCAAATTAAAAAAAAATAAAGTCCAAGAAATTGCAAGGCACATTAGTTTACTTGACCGACATTCTCTGTGAATAAACAAAGGCAGGGCTGTGCTGTAGTGGGTGGACCACTCCACTTCCACTCCAGCTCCCTTCTAATGTACCTGGGAGAGTAGCACAGGATGGCCCAAGTGCTGGGGCCCCTGTACCCACGTGGGAGATCAGAAAAAAGCTCCTGGCTCCTGGCTGGGGACTGGCCCAGCCCCAGCTATTGTGGCCATCGAGGAGTGAACCAGCGGATGAAAGAACTCCCTCTGCAACTCTGCCTTTCCAATCAATGAAAATAAACTGTAAATTTTTTTTTTTAAAAATAGGACCTTTACTAAGAGATAACGATCCCCAGGAAGGAATGGGCTTTAAGGAGCCTCGTGAAATCTTGCTTTACTATGGTGTGGGGGCTCTTCAGAAACAGCTGTTTAGCAAATCTGTGCAGATGGTTCCCTGGGTAAATACAAGGGGAAAGTAGTAAAAACAGACAACTGGAGCATCAACGGTGGTGTGTCTCTGTGGAAGCTGTTTTATCTTATGGAGACAGAGATACGAAAGTAGCCTACACATTTTGGCCAAGATGGAAGCATTCTTCCTTGACCCTTTGTTTATCTTGAGTTCTTAGCTTGTACGGAAAAAGATAGTAAGAGCAGAATGGCTGAGACCTTCTATAACCAAGTCTCCTTAAGGCACTGGATGGCTTCTTTGTCAAGCAACTCATCAAAGTTAAAGATGCTGTGCTGGGAAGCAAGGAAATGGACACTGCAGTGGAGTCTTGCCATGCTTGGGGCTTAGGTTCAGAGTTCTTTTTTTTTTCAGATTACTCATTTCTAGACTGATATGTTTAGTTATTCAATGAGAGGGTTCAGAAGTGTTAACTTGTTTTAGGGGATGCTGGCAGACATTCTGCCACCTAGTGGTTGTACTTCAGGCTTTGCAGTCAGGCATCACTAAGCCCACTTGTTCTGAGATGCTCAATTTGAGGGACTGTGGTTTCACTCCAGGGACCAAATGTCAGTAGCTGCAACAGAAGAGAGAAGGCCAGGTGCCCACTGCAAACAGGACCGAGTGGCTACCTGGGAACAATTAAGAAAAGACCTTGCTTCGTAGGCTTTCTCTGCACATGTCCATGGTACCCACCTATCCTCAAGATGTCTTCTCCAGGTAAGCCAGGCAAACTAGACTTCAGTGGTTAGCTGAATAGAATGACTGTCAAAGCACTCAGAGAAAAAAAAGTCCTATGAAGATATATCAAAGTGGATAAACCTAACCGAAGGTCCCAGGTTACTCTGCAGAGTACAACAGCTAAGGACAGATGAGGCAGTACCGCTAAGTACGGCTGAATGATGATGACCTCTGCCAATCTGGGTCTTCAGAATCTGGAGAAAGGCTTTCATTCACCCAAATTGGGATGAAACCAAGAGCTAAAGCCTGTGAAACCAGGAGAACAAGAAGGGCATTTTAGTAGCCAGTGGTTTATGTAGGAAAGAATATGAACGTTCTACTATTTTGAATTTTGTACACTCTAAGACCTTTGTACTGTAGGGACAAACTGAAGAAAAAATAACCAAAAGGGTGAATAAGATCTCCTGCAACAGAATGGAATTCCTAATTTATAAAGGGCAGAAATTATGGTTCTTGCCAAATAGGGAAAACTTTGCCCAAGAAATAATCTATTATAGTGTTTTTGAATTAAAAAAAAAAAATTGTACGCTTCTTTTTTTTAAATAGGGCCACCTATTTAGAATATGGGTATATATTTTGTGAGATGTTTTTCTGGGGAAAAAAGCTCACTTTGATGACTTATCACTCTGCAAAAAGCTTGCTGCAAAAGCTATTAAGGTCTTTGAAAAATCTGCATATGTCATTGTGAAAACATCCTATGATTCTGCAAAGAGAACAGATCCTAAGAGAGTGCTGTTAGCTATCACATCAAAGAAAGCTTTCATGCTGTTTTTTTTATTTTTACTTTTTTTTTTTAATTTGAAAGACAAAGACAGAGGGGAGATACAGGTCTTCTATCTGCTAGTTCACTCCCCAGATGGCTGCGATGGCTGACCCAATCCAAAGCCAGGAGAAAGGAACTTCTTCTGGGTCTCCCACATGGGTGCAGGGGTCCAAGGAATCGAAGCATCCATTGCTGCTTTCACAGGCCATAAACAGGGCGATGGATGGGAAGTGGAACAGCTGGGACTCAAACCAGTGAACATGAGAAGATGCTGGGGCTGGAAGTGGAGACTTAGCCTACTATGCTGTGGCACTGATCTTATTTTTAACATTATGAGGGAAAGGTGGTTGTAAATTACTTTCCCTAACTTTGTTTGCAAGAAACTCTGTCAGCCTTTTTCCTAAGACATTTTAATTTCCGTTTCTGAGACTGCTGCCATTCTCTGATTTTAGAGTAGTCCTAAGTAGAAGAGCTAAGATGTAAGACCCAAATTCCTTTCCCAGATGAAGCAGGGCTTACTGTGCTTGCCTTTCCCCTTTCCTCCTTCATTCAAGGAAGTAGTGAAGAGCAGGGAGAAGAGGGCCACCTCCAACCACTCAGAAATGTACGGACAACTGCAGGGTTCCACTGTTAGTGCTTGATAACGTGGAAAATAGTCAACAGATTAAACAACCAGAGAGGGACACATACATCATGATTTAGGATGGGGAGTAAAAACCAGGTAAGCATTGACCTTCATTCTGGGGACCTTGTTGTAGTACTTGAAAAAAACAAGGAACAGGCAGTATACATACCATATGGGTCATAAATTAAAGATTCAGAGTTGTGACTGATAAACACAATGAAGAAGACACTCAGATAAACGAGGGGTATTTCTATTAGTGTTAAAATCAAAATTATGAGTACATGGTTTATAAAATTCAGAGTAGCAAGAATAAAATAAAGAATACACGTTTTATGAAGTCATCACTCTTTCCAAATCATACCTAGTGGTTCCATTTGAATACTTTTTTAGGAAGTGCTATCAGAAGTCAGAGGAAATACTTTCTCATGCAGCTGGAAACTTCCACATCACACAAACAAAACTTTTCTCTGACTCTGAATATGAAAGGAGTAAGAATATGGAATTTTACTTATCTTGACCAGGCCAGAAATAAGCGCTCATCTTCCATTGCAGAATAATGCTCTGGATTCTAAATCAACTTCCACCTGCAATTGCTTGTATAATGAACCTGTTACCAACTTTTCTGAACATTGCCAAATACCCAATCATCTGAATATTAATCCAGTCTCTAAAAATCTTAAAAGTAGCACTAACATACAAGTGCGCCTGCTCCAAACAGGAACAAGCTCTTCTTTTTGACATTTAGCCTGGTTGAGCCCATCTTCAGCACAAGCATGACTTAACACGTGTAAAACTCTGGAAGGAACACAGCATGTTCTACTCGAGTACTTCAAAGGGCAGGGATATTTCCCTCAAAGGAAAACTGCAAGTCTTATCACAAAGAGGGAAAAAGAGGCAGGCATTTGTTTTCTCACACTGGCTTCTCAACCGTAACCTAGCATTATCTTGCCAGGCACCTCCTGACCAACCACTGAATGCAAGCATTAAATCAAATGGCTCGGGAGTGAGGATTCTCTGTGTCTTCAAATGTAATTTTTGCTTTGGCTCCAACTTATGTTTGACAAATATTTCTAAACAGTTATACACCTGTATTTCAAGATGGGAATTCTTAGTATCTCAGTATAACTGGATGACCTCATCCCACTCGGAAATAGGCCAGATTCCATTAGGCTGTACATTGGGTGGAGAGTTCTTCCAATCCCAAGTCTTTACCGGAATCTTCCAGGTCTTACCATAGTTGGCTTCGATGTATTCAATGGTTTCACAGGGCACGCGAACTTTCATATCTGCAAACTCAGTCCAGCAGAGTGTGAACTTGGGAAACAGGTACCTGCAAGCAGAACGGTGGCAATGTGGAGAGGTCAGGCTATCCCAATGAATTTTGAATTCAGAGCAGGTCAATTCTTGGCTAAGGGCAGACTTTTTCTACTACTCAACTTTGAGGCTAGCTAAAGTCCAGCATTCTTCTCATCTTCGAATGTTAACAGCATCCTAATTTCCCTCCCCTAGTCCCAGGCCACAGATTGAGGAGAGGTTAATATCACTTCTAGGCTCCAGAGACAGTTCAAAAACACACAGTCTGTGTTGAGTCATTTATAGTGACTGGTTCACGGATGGAACAGATACAAGTTAGGAAATGAAAACTCAGCCTTCGAACTTCTGGAAGAAATACTGTCACAGCAAAACACTGCCAAAAGATGGAGGAAAACTATCATTATTTTACTGACAACCTGAAATTTCCCAAGGATACAATACAGAATGACTGTTTACTACATTGCTAGGCTTTCTCTTGATTCTTCAGCTTACAGAATCCTAACTTTTTGCCTCTCATCTCAAACAAATGCTAAAGAATATCCTTAAACCAGTCCAAGTATTTCTGGTTACAGTTAATTTAATATATGTATTGGAGAACTGTGTTAATTAATGGATTTCAAAAATGAAATAAAAAAACATGTCTTGAAGGTACTTTGGATCAAGTGAATTAAATTTTACATATTACAAAAATGACTAAAATTAACAAGTTTGTTTAAATTCATATTTCAATCCTTTTCTAAAGTGCTTTTTTTTCCCCTTTGAGAATTTTTTTTTTTTTTTTTTTTTTTTGGTCACAACATGGAAGAATTTTCAGTAGCAAAGTCTGAAGTGGAAATAGAAGATATTACAGGAACTTAAAGTACCAGGGAACTGAGGAAGCACTGAAAGTCACATTTCAAAAATGCAATCCTATTGTAGAAAAAGGAACTAATTGTGATGTTCTCCAAGGCAAGGTCAGTTCTCACATTAAGTATTCTGCCTGCCAATAGCATGTTTGATGACCAAATGAACAGAAAATGAGAGGCTGAACAAATTCTAAAGAAAGCAACAAGTGTTTTTGACTCAAACCAATGGGTGCTGGCAGTTAACAGACAATCCTAGCTGGCTTCTGTGAAAACATAGCAACAGCAAATCCCATGGCTGAGAAAGAAATAAGATACAGATTAGCCCTACCATCTGCTGGTTCCAATTTTATTCTGCACACTCATATTCATGGAACTATTTATTTGTCATCAGACATTCTCATGCTTTACCAGCCCCTACCTTCCCCAATGAGATGCTGGTCAACACTATGTCCACCTGTTCTACTCCATCAAGGGGACACATGAAAGTTAAACTGAGATTGGAACCCTAAACTAGTCACAGAGGTCAGGAAACAAGTGCCTCTTAAGCAAAAGCCCGTATAATCTCATCAAAAGAGCTAAAAGAGAAAAACAGCAGATCCAGGGTACAGGAACACCACACATTTTACAAAGCAGTAAGTTGAACCATGGAGGATTTTGTGATCGTATCAAAACATTTAAAATATTAACATGAAAATAACAAAAAATTTAACTCAAATGCTAGTTTTTCTTCCTAAATATATTCCTGAATTGCTTTCTTTTGTTCCCTCTCCCCAATTATTTCTCAATTCTTTCTGAAAAGAAAAATAGCAATTTCCAAGGAGAACAAGAAAGACAAACAAACCATAGAATGTGAAAACTGAATGTAAAATAGGATTCTGGAAAGGAAGGGGTTGGAATGAGCAGCAGCACAGGCCAAGTAGCCGGTCCAGGTTGCCAGTAGATAATGATAGACCAAAGTGCACCATGGGTCAGCTACGTGACTTTGGCTTTCAGAGCTATGATTAACTGTGGCTAAGCAGTTTGTGCTGCCAGGCCCCAGGACAGGATCAAAAACATGAACAGATTTACATTGAAACAGAAGCAAATTTAAATCAGAATATAAATTTCAGGGTTTTCAATACCACAATATTCCTTCCATTATTTATCCATTTCAAACCAGTTCTAGTTCATTTCAAACTAGGAGTTAATTAAAGTAGTTGGAACTAAAGGTACAGTTTTTCCCTCTTACAAATAATCTAAAAATCTACAAATCTACTTGGTGGTGGAAGAATTAAGTAATTTCATCAACTGAATCGTACAGTGAACATAATTCCTAAATGAAAAGGAAGCCCATTCACTCACCTTAAGAAACACTGTTTATTATTAATAGCTAGGTTATCTGAGATATTTCAATTATAACTGACTTTGTTCCCCCCCTTTTTTTACATTTTATTATTATTATTATCATTTTATGATACAGTTCCATAGGCTCTTGGCATTTCCCTTATCCCCTGCCCCCCACCTATTTCCTCTATATCATTACTAAAACATAGTTCTTCATACACAGTCTTATGTCCATCATTGCGGGCATGGACAATGGCAGAGAGTCCAGCATCCTATTGTCAAGATATAGTGTACAGTTTCATTGTAAGTCCATCTTTGTCTAGGAGATGGTATACTACATTACCTAGAAATGTATACTACATTGTATCCTCACATCTGGATGTTAGTCTCCATTTCACAGCTACTGTGTATCCCCTTAAATGAAAATCATAATACAAAATCAACAATAAAAACAGAAATTTGCAATGCCATAAAGTTGAATGACATGTTACTAGATATGACAGTCTCCATTACACAGCTTACTATACATCCCCTTAAATGAAGAGCCACAAAACAAAATCAACATCAGGGAGAAAAAAGAAATTAACAACACCATGAAGTTAAATAATATGCTACTAAATGACTAACGTGTAGCTGAAGAAATGAAAATCAAGAACCTTCTTGAAGGAAACGATGCTACTGTATGATCTACGAGTCACTGAATGATTTAATCAGAAGAAAGTGTTTTGAAGAGATGAAACTAACAGAAAACAACAAAACCCATGTGATATAGTTTCTGCTGATTTTTGTTGGTGAAGTGTGTCTCTTCTAGACAATAAAAAGATGGGTTTTGTTTTTTTAATCCAGTCTACTAACTGACCTTGTTCCCACTTTCTTAAAAAAATAAATTCTATATTTACTTGAAGGCTGGGGAAGGAAAGAAGAGAGAGCTTCCATCTGCTTATTCATTCCCCCATTCCTGCAATAGCTGGGACTGGGCCAGGCTGAAGACAAGAACCAGTGTAACTTCATCCAGGTCTCCCAGGGTCAGGAACACACCCTGGAGGCACTGCTTGCTGGTTCCCGGCGTGTGCGTTACCAGGAACTTGGGTTGCAAGCAGAGGCACTTGACCTGTAACAAGGCTCAAGAGTTTTTGTGATTATTTTCACGTGCTTTCAACTGACCATACCTTTTCTTTGGCTCTCATCCTCCAATTTCCTTGCTTTCCTTTGAATTGATAAAGATTTATATGTTCCCCGTTTCTCTGCCTGCTTGTTTGGAAGTTTCAGGTATTATTTGCTACAATCAGTGTTTATTTTTGAACACACTTCTCTGTAACATTTTCTATGAAAGATTAAATTTATGTAGAGTCTCTACCCTCTTCCTAAACATGAGGTATAATGTTTAGGACTATAACTTAATAATTTAATTAATAATTTAATAATGAGCATAATTATTCCTTCAACACTGATCAGCATGTGAAAAGCTACTTGTAGCCCTGGTGTTTACAGCAGCTCAACTACAAAAATCTGGTGTAATCAACCCAGATTTCCACCAACCGATGACTGGATAAACAAAATATGATATCTACATATGTGTGTATAGACACACACACACAACAGGTATATTATGGGATATATTACTCAGCCATGAAAAGAATAAAATCCTTGGGGTGTGGCCAGTGTGATGCATCTACTGGTTAATCCTTGATCTACACGCACCAGTATTCCATACAGGTGCTGGTTCTAATCCCAGCAGCTCCACTTCCCATCCAGCTCCCTGCTTAAGGCCTGGGAGAGCAGTTGAGGATGGTTTGAAGCCGTGGAACCCTGCACCTGTGTGGGAGACCCAGAAGAGGGTCCTGGCTCCCGGCTTCGGATCGGCACAGCTCCGGCTGTTGCAGTCACTTGGGGACTGAACCAGTGGACAGAAGATCTTTCTCTTTGTCTCTCTTCCTCTCTGTATATCTGACTTTCCAATAAAAAGAAAATATATCTTTTAAAAAGTCTATAGTATGAAGAATTAATAAGTACAGAAAAAAAAATCTGTACACAAGTTTTTTTAGTGGAAATGTATTTTTATTTCTCTTCCAATACTAATTATGTAATTTCTTGTAGAATGAAGTTCATACAACAAATATATATGGCAGTTTTAAAAAATATAATTTATTCACTTGCAAGAAAGTTGCTAATGTAGTCTTAGGCAATCTTCTCTTTAAAAAGCATGTCACATAATTAAGTGCCCAAGTATATAATTACCATACAACATGTATTCAAAGCGCTTCCCTCAATCCTGCACCTGTTACTCACAGAACTTTGGCGGTATAATTACGGAGACCTTAGATATAAACTACATGTTTATATATGTAAACTATATGTTTATATATGCAAAATACGAAAGCACAAAGAGCAGGAAATATGAGATCATATTTTATTTTAAGAAACTAGAACTCAGAGAAATGGTTCAAATTTGCCTTTTTTGCTTCACAGCTGTAAGAACTGAGGAGATAAATGTGTTTGCTGAGAGCTATAACAACAAAGGAGCATACTATTAATCTACACAGCTGACAGTGACAGAGACTCAACAACTAACCCTAGTCTGTAACCATCTGTGAAGCAGCAGAGCAATTAAAAACAGAGTGACTTCACTTTATGGTTTTAATTTTCCAAACATGCCAGGCTGGATCAAGTCATCAACCTGGTGCCACTTGTAGGACTCAGTCAAACCTACTTGAACCTATCACTTAGGACAAAATAGATAAATCAACAAAGTAGGAGAGAGGTAGACACACACACACACACACACACACACACACACACACACACACACACACACACACGGAAACTAATTAGAAAGGGGGATTGTCTC